CCCCACCCTCCACCCACCCAGCCAGGGGGCCTGGCCCACCTTGGGCCTGGCTGTCCAGGTAGATGAAGGACCAGTCATCCAGGGTGAGCATGGTGAAGAGGGTGAAGAGCGTGGTCAAGATGTTGTGGAAGCGGACGGGGTCCGAATGGCGGAAGAGTGCCCGGAGCACCACAGAAAAGAGGACTAGCCGGCGGTTCAGGGCCACCCTGGGCAGACACGGTCTCCCCTCGGCCCCCCGCCACAGCCCGCTGCCCCGTCACCCCCCGGCGCAGGATACAGAGGCAGGTGAACATGAGAATGAGGATGGCCATGATGGACGGCAGGGATGGGGCCAGGGTCCCCGCCACTTCCTGCATGCTGGTCAGGATGCTGCGGGCAGAGATGGAGGAGGAGGGTCACTCCACCAGCGGGCCAGGGGAGCCTGTGTCTGCAGCCCCGACTGGCCCTGAAGGCAGGAGGTCCCTGATTGGTTGGTGACCTCCAGAGAGTCCTGGTTCCTTTTGGAGGGTGGGGTGGGGGGGCGGGATAGCAGCAGTGGGCTGGCTCCGCCACCTCTCCTCCCCCTGTCCCTTGAGCGGGCCACAGGCTTCCGGCCCCTGCTCCCTTCGTGCCCACACCAGGGTGGGCAGCTGACCTCAGCCTCCGCAGGACCCGGATGGCCCTCAGGGCCCGCAGACTCTTGAAAACCTTGAGGATCCGCACGGTGTTGTAACTGTAGAAGTTGTTCACGGAGGTGTTGAACTCCATGAACAGGCAGTCCAGCACGGCCATGATCATGATGAAGAAGTCTGAGGGGCCGGGGCGGCAGGTCAGCCCTGGGCCGACCCCCAGCGCTCCCGGCCCCAGCACGCCCACCCGACCCCTCTGCACCCTTAGGGCCACCCCGTCCCCCAGGCGCCCACTGCGCGCGCGCGCACACGCACACACACACACACACACACACACACAGGCCCCATCCTCACCCTCACCCACCTAGATTGTTCCAAGAGTCAGAAAAATACTCCAGGCCCAGGGCCATGATCTTGAGCAAGGCTTCCATGATGTAAATGCACAA